CCGTCTGTTTACTTAGTTGACTGATTGACTGACTGAAACTTTTATATCTTCTCACTGATACAAACACATTAGTGAGACATAATTTTGGTTCTCTCAGTCGAAAACCAGTATCTTTCTCAGTCGACACCATAAATGTTCAATTCTTCAGTCGATTCATTAATGTTTGTTACCTCAGTCAAAATGTGTTGCTGATGTTTTTGTCTTTCAGTAAACTCTTTCACCAATATCTTTCTCAGTCAACACCCTAAACTCTCTACGTTTCTCACTTAATATTCTAACTGCTTTCCCCTTCAGTCAACTGTCTTAACTGCTGGGTGTCAACAACCACAGTATCAGCCAAACAGCTAATTGACAACCTTTTTTTTAACCAACAATCACACACAATCGCTGGACAATAACCACTGGAGAAAAACACTACGACCACAGAACAATAACCACTACAACCATTAGATAATAACCACTACAACCACTGGACCATAACCATTACAACCACTGGACCATAACCATAACAACCACTGGACCATAACCATTACAACCACTGGAAATAACCACACTACAACCATTGGATAATAACCACTACAACCACTGGACCATAACCATTACCACCACTGATAATAACCATACAACCACTGGACCATAACCATTACAACCACTGGACCATAACCATTGGACCATAACCATTACAACCACTGGAAATAACCACACTACAACCATTGGATAATAACCACTACAACCACTGGACCATAACCATTACCACCACTGAACCATAACCATAACAACCACTGGACCATAACCATTACAACCACTGGAAATAACCACACTACAACCATTGGATAATAACCACTACAACCACTGGACCATAACCATTACAACCACTGGAAATAACCACACTACAACCATTGGATAATAACCACTACAACCACTGGACCATAACCATTACAACCACTGGAAATAACCACACTACAACCATTGGATAATAACCATTACAACCACTGGAAATAACCACACCACAACCATTGGATAATAACCGCTTTACAACCATTAAGGAATATCTAGAACAACCACAGAACAATAACCACTACAACCATTAGATAATAACCACTACAACAATTAAACTATAACCACTCTACAACCAATGGGTCTCTTTTGTGAACAACCAGACAGTCTTTCCAGATAAAGCACTTGACACGCCAGGTGTGTATATATATATATATATATATATATATATATATATATATATATATATATATATATATATATATATATATATATATATATATATATATATATATATATATATATATACGAAATGTAAAGACCTATTCTTGGTAACACTTGGCATTGTATGATGATGATGATGATAATAATTATAATAATAATAATAATAATAATAATAATAATAATAATAATAATAATAATAATAATAATAATAATAAAACTAAGTAAATCATTAGAAATTTTACATACCTACTAACTTTACCTACCACCTCTCTCAAATACAATTAGTTAATAGTACAAGTAATTAACATATACCTGTCCATCTCTCCTCAGGTGAGTGTGGGCTTCGCTCTCAGCTGCTCTTGATCCAAGTTTCCCCACTAAATCCTTAGGATAGATTAGGTAATGGCTAGGTTAGGTTAGGTGAGGTTAGGCTAGGCTAGGCTAGGCTAGGTAACGACGTCCAGGTGAGTGACACAGGTGAGCTAGGCGAGTGACGTTATGCCAAGATACATATTTAGGTGCACGTGTTTGTGATAAAGAAACACCAGATTCTGTAAAGGAGTCAAACAGTATTACCAGATGACTAATTAAACGTCAAAATGCATCCAATAGTAATACCAGATAAAGATAAAACATCAATATGTATCCAGCAGTATTACCAGATTCAACAGAAATATCACTGAATGTCCAACAGTTTATCCCAAAAACTTTAAACACAATATAGCCAGATAAGACATAAACCTAAATCACATCAAACAGTATTGCCAGAAACAGGTAGTGAGGTAAATATACTTAACAAATAACAGTATAACCAGAATGGATAAAGATTATACGGTGAGATCCCAGATATAAACCGGATGTAAAGGCAGAGACTGTCAATAAATCATTATAGTATAAGCTGGATATAGGACATAAGCAAACCACTATAGCAGATATAAGGCAGAGATTAAAAAGAAATTCCTATAAGTTATCGAGACATATCAAACTAGACATGGTAGACACAAGCGTTTAGACCAATAGACAGACAGACAGACAGACAGACAGACAGACAGGTGAGTTTATACAGGTGTGGATGGGGACAGCTCGACCCCATTTGTTTGTATCTGGCTCTAAGGTTATGGAGGTGACTTATAAAAGCGGCTTTTTTGTCCGGCTGTGGTAGTGAGTCAGGATCCGGTTTTTTGTACATGTTTGCTGGCCAGCCGGATATAATGCAAGCCGTGTATGTGCAATGACTAGTTGTAATATCGGGGTTGAACCAGCTAAACCTTACCTTAATATAACCTTACCTAACCTAAGCTAAACTAACCTAACCAAACCTAACCTAAGCTAAGCTAACCTAAGCTAAGCTAACCTAACATAACCTGAGCTAGCCTAACCTGAGCTAGCCTAACCTAAGCTAGCCTAAGCTAACTTAAATTATTCTAGTTCTATTTAACATAATCTAACCTAACCTAATTTAACCTAATTTAACCTAATTTAACCTAATCTAACCTAACCTAAAATATGGAACATAACGATCTTATTGTGTACACCTCCTAGCGTAACACAGTCCTAGCACTACACCTACTAGCACTACACCTCCTAGCACTGCAGTTCCTAGCACTACACCTCCTAGCACTACACCTCCTAGCACTACACCTCCTAGCACTACTCCTCCTAGCACTACACCTCCTAGCACTACACCTCCTAGCACTACTCCTCCTAGCACTACACCTACTAGCACTACACCTAGTAGCACTACACCTCCTAGCACTACACCTCCTAGCACTGGGCTAACCTCCCAGCACTACACCTCCCAGCACTACCTCCCACTAGGCACACCACACCCCACACCACTCCCTCCCAGCACCACACCCACAGCACCACACCTCCTAGCACTACTCCCGCCACACCTACTAGCACTACACCTCCTAGCACCACTCCTCCCAGCACCACCTCCCAGCACCACACCTCCCAGCACCACACCTCCTAGCACTACCCTCCCACACCACACCTACTAGGCACTACCTCCTCAAGGCCACACCTACTAGCACCACACCTCCTAGCACTACCTCCCAGCACTACACCTCCCAGCACTACACCTCCTTAGCACCACACCTCCTAGCACCACACCTCCTAGCACCACACCTACAGCACCACACCTACCAGCACTCACACCTCCAGCACCACACCTCCTAGCACTACTCTACTAGCACTCCACACCACCCAGCACTTACTCCCTCCCAGCACCACACCTACTAGCATTCACACCTGCACCACTACACCTACTAGCACAACACCTCCTAGCACAACACCTCCTAGCACTACACCTACTAGCACTACACCTCCTAGCACTACTCCTACTAGCACTACACCTACTAGCACTACTCCTACTAGCACTACACCTACACATGTTATGTACTCGCTCACCTTGCAAACACAGACTAAGACACAGATCTTGGTCTAGTAACCACCACCTAGTTTGTATAAACACTTTTGATAATATATAATATATCCCAAAATATAGCAGTATAGGTATTGACATTTTATATAGCGAAAAAAAAGTATAGAAAAAAATACTTGTTACATTTTATAAGTAGCAGAAATATAGCAGCATTAACTGGCACACTTAAACACCTTTATAAGTAGCATCCCTTAACACTTGCAAATTAAAAATAAGAGCTTATATGTCTATTATTTATGTTAACTCTCTGGTATGTTGAACTTAATCAGCTGATATCAGACAGGTGTCTATTTTGATCTATATGACTTTGTTTACTTATTATGATGATTCTGACTCCATCATTAATCAGCTGTTTACCACGTGTGATTGTTTTGATCTGTGAGGTGACGTCATCTCACTTTAGTTGGACACGTGCTAAGAGAATGTCGACGCTACAGTCATATATATATATAGGTAGCGTCCCCCTGGCGACTGTAAGATTAGGTGTGGCACGTGTGTGGTGGTGGTGGTGGTGGTACAAGAACTCAAGTGTTGATAGCAGGTGTGAAGGCGTACATTTCCAACTGTCTGACAATGTAATACAGTTTCCTGTCGTTCTAGTAAACCTCTGTGTCACATTATTACAAAATATGTTTAGTTTCCTGGTCCTTGTCTGAGTGATGGTTATAATGAGTTGCTTTCTCCCATAAATGAAGATTATTGTGTCAGTAACCTAGCTGGTGGTAAGCACATGAGGGCTATCACCATCACCACCACACACACAAGGCCTCACTATCACCACCACACACAAGGCCTCACTATCACCACACACACACACACAAAGGCTCACTAACACCAGCACACAAGGCCTCACCTATCACCACCACACACTGAGCCTCACTATCACCACCACACACACAGAGGCCTCACTATCACCTACCACACCTGGGCCTCACTATCACCACCACTAGGGCCTCACTATCACCCACCACCACACACAGGGCCTCACTATCACCACCACACACAAGGCCTCACTATCACCCACACACCTGAGGCACTATCCTGCCACCACACAGGGCCTCACACTATCACCACCACCACACACAGGGCCTCACTATCACCCACCACACACACAAGGCCTCACTATCACCACCACACACAAGGCCTCACTATCACCCACCACACACAGGGCCTCACTATCCCACCACCACACACACAGGGGCCTCACTATCACCACCACACACACAAGGCCTCACTAACACTGCCAGCACACAAGGCCTCCTGTACCAGCACACACAGGGCCTCTGTCACCACCACACACAAGGCCTCACTATCACCAGCTACAATACCCCCCCCAACACCGCCCCTGGACTGGGTTGAAAGTACAAGTCATGAGGACCACCACAGTACCTCCCCAAACCTGACGAAGCTACACAAATCATTACACCTTTTATCCACATGTGACCCAGCTCTTAAGAGGCCACATACTGCATCAGGACTTTACAGCTAATACACATACGATTTGATATTGACAATTTATAATGAAAAAAAAAATCCGTTCCCCGTAGCGATACATGAGACTGGCCACACCTACACAGAGAGCAGCACCAGGGAGCCATGGTTTATTATCCTGCCGAAGGACAACTCACTACACAGACCAGAGATGGTCACACAGTCAAGCTCCAAGCGGGAGAGAGAGAGAGGGAGAGAACTTCTTACACTTAACTAGGAGAAAAAGCTAACATGTTTACAAGGCATGGACGTTGACATGACATCTTGTAATACATGGATGGAGGGAAGCTCTCCTGATTGACTACCCTCAGTGAGTAACCCCCTTGAGGTTCCTTCAGGATTCTTCAGGTTACTTCGGGTTTCTTCAGGTTTCTTTAGGTTCCTTTCAGATTCCTCCAAGTTCCTTCAGGTTCCTTCAGATTCCTCCAGGTTTCTTCAGGTTCCATCAGGTTCCTCCAGATTCTTTCAGGCTCCTCCAAGTCCCTCCAGGTTCCTCCAGATTCCATCAGATTCCTCCAAGTTTCTTTAGGTTCCTTCAGGTTCCTTCCTCTTGGAGTCATGAATGGGTCTTACCTCGTAGGGGTGGTGGATGGAGGAGAGCTTCCCGATACCATCCAAGAATACCAAGTTACTCCACTGTCCTCTCCGCTGGGTCTCCAAAAAACACCCAGGAGAAGTCGTGGAGGATTTTGAAGGAGGCTCCTGACACCTTGGAGACTCTCCTACAAGACATGGAGGTTCTCACACGACTTAGACTTGTTATCTAGGAGACACATCTTATTGAGGAGCTCCTTGGCCGCGTGGAGGCTCAGGGAGGTCTTCGAGGCTGACATCTTCTTCAGGCGCTTCCGGTGGGCGGCCAAACGCAGACGAACCTGATGGTGGAGAGATGGTTATTGGTACGTGTGTGTGTGTGTGTGTGTGTGTGTGTGTGTTATAGAATATTCTTCAAAAAAATACAATATATCCTGACAGCAAACTTTCTAAGCACAATAATCAATTCTTTAGTACGAAGAAGTAAAAGAGAGAGAGAGAGAGAGAGAGAGAGAGAGAGAGAGAGAGAGAGAGAGAGAGTAACCATTATCTCACCTGCTTCACCACGCCCACCAGCAGCTCGTCCACGTTGTGCTGTATGCCGCTGGAAGTCTCTATAAATTTACTTTCGTGGCTCCTCGCAAGAGACTTTCCCTCTGTAGAGATAAGAGAGAGAGACATTAGTGTGTGAGAAGAGAGAGACAAAAGTGTGTGAGGAGTAAGAGATATTAGTGTAGGGGGAGATAAGAAAGAGACATCAGTGTGGGGGGAGAGTATTAATGGGAAAGCTGGAGAGAGAGAGAGAGAATGTGTGTGTGTGTGGACGGATGGTGGTAGTGAAACGCGGCAGGCTAGCACCGTAGACTTTTACACGCCCGGCATATGCAAGAATTTTTTTTATTACACTCGTCATTCTTTTCCATTTATATACATATCATTACTTCCTTGTCATATTAATTATCATTCTATTATTATTATTATTATTATTATTATTATTATTATTATTATTATTATTATTATTTTTATTATTATTATTATTATTATTATTATTATTATTATTATTTTTATTATTATTATTTTTATTATTATTATTATTCTAGTTATCATTATTCTCCTATTTATTCCTCATTCTCCAGCCTCTCTAAATCTTCCCTAAAATCATCTTCATCCTCTCCTCCATCTCTTTTATTAACCAGTATCTCTCTCTCTCTCTTATCACTGTAACCAGAAAACAAAAGACTAAACCGAAGCGATATTTATAACCTAAGGACACTGGGCAAATAATATTCACAAATTTTACTGTATATATTCCTAAGTATTTCTGAAGTGAGTTTATGGAAGCAGTAACTGTTATTGCGTGTGTGTAAGTCTGTGTGTGTTTATTTATCCACTTTAGATTCAATGTTTAGTACGAGTGTTTATAGGTTGTTTCAACATAGGAAGGGAAATGGGGGTCAATGTTTATGTTTTACACCGTACAGGGAGGGTATTGGTGTGTGTGTGTGTGTGTGTGTGTGTGTGTGTGTGTGTGTGTGTGTGTGTGTGTGTTTCCAGGTTATCATTATATAGGTCAATATCCCAGTTCACTCAACAGGTCAGTACACCAGGTCACTCAACAGGTCACTACCCCAGGTCACTACCCCAGGTCACTCAATCAAGTCATTCTACAGGTCACAAAACAGGTCACTACCCCAGGTCACTACTCCAGGTCACTCAATCAAGTCACTCTACAGGTCGCTAAACAGGTTACTACCCCAGGTCACTCAACAGGTCACTACCCCAGGTCACTGTACAAGTCACTACCCTAGAACACTACCCCAGGTCACTCACCACTGTTGTTGACGATCCTGGACCTGGCAAGATCGACCTTATTCCCCACTAGGATAACTGCCTTGTCCTTCGAGTAATTCTCCCGCCACAGGTAAGTCAGGGTGTCCTCCGCCTTCTTGAACGACCCCTTGTCCGTGATTGAGTACACGACGACGCACGCATGGGGGTCATACGTCGAGAGGCAGTTCTCAACCTGTAGGAGACGACGACGAAGATGATGGTTTGAGATGATGGTTGTATAGCCAATTAGGTCTCATTCGCCTCGCCAAACTCGCCAAATGTCTCAATCACCTCGCCAAATATACCTCACTTACCTCGCCAAATATGTCTCACTCACCTCGCCAAATATGTCTCACTCACCTCGCCAAATATATCTCACTTACCTCGCCAAATAAACCTCACTAACTCACAATATGTCCCACTTTACCCCCACAAATAAACCCCACACACCTCGCCCAAATATACTCCTCACTTCATCAATATGTCCCACTTACCCACAAATAAAACTCACCTTCGCCAAAAATTTCCCACCACCTCCAAATAAACCTCACTTACTCGCCAAATATGTCTCAATTCACCTCGCCAAACAAACTCCACACACCTCACAACATCCCACTTACCCAAATATACCACTTACCTCGCCAAATGTCTCACTTCACTCGCAAATATGTCTCACCACCTCACAATATACCTCAATTTACTCCGCCAAATAAACCCCACAAATAAACCTCACTTACCTCGCCAAATATGTCTCACTTACACTCGCCAAATATACCTCACTTACCTCGCCAAACCTCACTTACCTCGCCAATATACCTCACTCTACCTCGACAAATATATACTCCCACTTACCTCCTGCCAAATGTCTCACTTACTCCCAAATAAACCCCACTTACTCGCCAACAAACCCCACTACCCGCCAACATAAGTCCCACTTAATTCTCGCCAAATAAACTTCACACACCACAAATATATTCTCACTTCACTCGCCAAACATATGTCTCACTCACTCGCCAACATACCCTCATCACCCCGCCAACAAACCCCACTTACTCAGCCAAATATGTCTAACTAATCGCCAAATGTCTCACTACCTCGCCAAATAAACCTCACTTACCTGCCAAATATGTCTCACTCTACGCCAACATGTCTCACTCACCCGCCAACAAACCTCACTCACCCGCCAAATATGTCCCACTTACCTCCCAACATGTCTCACTTACCTCAAATATGTCTCCACCCACCCCAAATAAAACCCCACTTACCTCAGCAACATGTCCATTTACCGATAAATATGTCCTAACTCACCTCGCCAAAAACAAACCCCCCACCACCCTGCCAAAAAACTTACTTATTCACAACATGTCCTCAATTAATTCGCCAACATGTTCCACCAATTTTCAAATAAACTCACTTACTCCTCAAATATATCTCACTTACTCACAAATATGTCTCACCACTCAAATATAACTTCACCACTTCAATATGATCTCCACTCACCCGACAAATATATCCCACTTACCCCCCAAACAAACCCCACCACCCGCCAAATATATGTCACTTACTCGCCAAATAAACCTCACTACCCGCCACAACAAACCCCCACTTAATTCGCCAAATATCTCGCTTACCTCGCCAAATATGTCCCACTCACCCCAAATATATCTCACCACCTCACAAATATACCTCACTACCCTCGCCAAATAAACCACACACCTCAAATATACCTCACACCTCACCAAATAAACCTCACTCACCTTGCCAAATATGTCTCACTCACCTCGCAACATACCTCACACCCTAGCCAAAATATACCTCACTTGCTACAATATACCTCACACACCTCGCAATATACCTCACACACTCGCCAAATATAACCTCACACACTGCCAATATACTCACACCTCAAATATACTTCACACACTCCGCCAACATACCCCCTGATCCACTGTGATATTTGGCGATAATGACAAAACACAGTGGCTGGTATATTTAGAGTTATTCATTGTTTTAGTGAATAATGAGAGGACTGAACAATATACCTGGTTATTGTGTATATACCTGTGACGGGATTATACATTTAGAGGGTGTTATGGCGGGGAATATATTACAGGTGAGTGCTATAAGAGGTGGACTTTACCTGTGTTAAGTCAATACCTAAATGTGAGTTTATTTACTAGAGAAAGAGAATATTTCTAAAACCTAGCGAGAAATATGTTATGGTTTGTTATGTATCTCGTAAAATATATAAAATATTACTAAAGGAAATGTGTTTAATTAGTAGACGTGTCTTGAGATAAAGATAAATCCTTGTTTTTCATTGCTTGTTGGTGTATTATGAAGGACCAATCATATTCTAGCATATTTTAGGCCAATAATACGTTCATATGTCTCTGACGTCACCAACCAATCACAAGTTCTTATGGCTCTGATGTCACCAATCAATCACATCGTTCCCATGGCTCTGATGTACTAACCAATCACATTCTCCAAAGCTTTGCCTGTCATCGTTTCTCTCACAACATGAGAGAGCGACAGCCAATAAACAGTTGCGGCAGTGATGACATCAAAGTCAGGAAAGAGTGTGATTGGCTAATAAGAGGAGGCCTTTCCCAACGTGGATGTCCGCCCCATATTAACCCGTGCTAGGTCATGAAAATACGTCCGTGTGAGTCCAGGTCAACAAGGTTACTCCCTCAGGAAGCAGCTGATTGGCCAGTTCGTAATCCTTGATCTGTCAGTCGGTAGTTCAGAATTGACGTTCATAGAGCTACACGACTCAGCTTACACATACATACATACATACATACATACATTATATACATACATACATACATACATACATACAGTATATACATACACATACATACATACATAGCAACATACATACATACATACATACATACAATACATACATACATACATAGCAGCACATACCGTATATACATACATACATAGTATATATACATACATACATACAGTATATACATACATACATACATACATACATACATACATACAATACATACAGTATATACATACATATACATACATACAGTATATACATACAATACATACATACATACATACATACATACATATAATACATACATATATACATACATACATACATACATACATACAGCACAAAAATACAAACACTTAAGGATCTGAGTCACTAAAATTGTCTCAAGTCAAAAGAGAAAATAGTCGTATGTTGGTTCTATATACAGACAGACAGACAGACAGACGGACAGACTTACAGACAGACAGACAGACAGACTTACAGACAGACAGACAGACAGACAGAAACAGACAGACGAGGGACAGACTTACAGACAGACAGACAGACAGACTTACAGACAGACAGACAGACAGACAGACAGACAGACAGACAGACTAACAGGACAGACTTACAGACAGACAGACAGACAGACAGACAGACAGACAGACAGACAGATTCTTACAGACATCCGTGCGCTGGATGATCGATAAAAGTGACTTCACTCTCCCTCCCCGTCCAGCAGTACTGACACACTCTCCTGAACTCACTCATCTGTCGAAACACATTGTAGACAAGAGTTAGACACATGGTAGACAAGAGTTAGACACATGGTACAAGAGTTAGACACATGGTAGACAAGAGTTAGACACACAGACAAGAGTTAGGTAAAAGAGTTAGACACATGGTAGACAAGAGTATAACATGGTAGACAAGAGTTAGACACATGATAGAACAAGAGTTAGACACATGGTAGACAAGAGTTAGGACACATGGAGAACCAAGAGTTAGACACATTGTAGACAAGAGTTAGACACATGGGTAGACAAGAGTAGACACATGGCAGACAAAGAGTAGACACATGGCAGACAAGAGTTAGACACATGGTAGACAAGAGTTAGACACATGTAGTAGACAAGAGTTAGATACATGGTAGACAAGAGTTAGGACACATGGTAGAAAGAGCATACAGACAAGAGTTAGACACATGGTAGACAGGAGTTAGACACATGGTAGACAAGAGTTAGACACATGGTAGAAAAGAGTTAGACACACAGACAAGAGTTAGGACACATGGTGACAAGAGTTAGACAACATGGTAGACAAGAGTTAGACACATGGTAGACAAGAGTTAGACACATTGCAGACAAGAGCTAGACACATGGTAGACAGACACAAGTAACAGAGTTAGACACACAGACAAGAGTTAGACACATGGTAGACAAGAGTTAGACACATGGTAGACAAGAGTTAGACACATGGTAGATAAGAGTTAGACACATGGTAGACAAGAGTTAGACACATCGGTAGACAGGAGTTAGACACATGGTAGACAGAAGTTAGACACATGGTAGACAAGAGTGAGACACATGGCAGACAAGAGTTAGACACATGGTAGACAAGAGTTAGACACATGCAGACAAGAGTTAGACACATGGTAGACAAGAGTTAGACACATGGTAAAAAAGAGTTAGACACATGGTAGACAAGAGTTAGACACATGGTAGACAAGAGTTAGACACATGGTAGACAAGAGTTAGACATAGAGACAAGAGTTAGACACATGGTAGACAAGAGTTAGACACATGGTAGACAAAAGAGTTGACACATGGTAGACAAGAGTTAGACACATGGTATTTAGACACATAAGGTAAAAAGTTAAACATAACTCTCACTCCCCTCTCAACCTCTCTCTCTCACCTGTTCACCTCTCTCTCACTTCCATTCTCACCTGTTCACCTCTCACCTGTTCACCTCTCACCTGTTCACCCTCTCTCTACACTCTCACCTGTTTCACTTCCTCACCCGTTCAACTCTCACACCTGTTCACCCTCCTCACCTGTTCAATCTCACTTCACCTGTTCACCTCTCTCACCTCACCCCACTCTCACCTGTTCACCTCTCCATACCTCACCACTTCACCTCACCCATGTTCACCCTCTCACCTCACCTGTTCAACTCACTCACCACCCAATGTTCACCCCCCACCCCACCCACCACCCCCCACCTCACCTGTCTCACCATCCTCCCCCACCCACCACCCCCACCTCCCCACCTCTCTCACCACTCTCACCTGTTCAACTCTCCACTTCACCTGTTCACCCTCTCTCCTCACCTCACCACCACCCCCACTCACCTGCTACCCCCACCACCACCCTCATCCACTCCTCACCTGTTCACCCCCTCTCTCTCTCTCACTTCCCCTCACCTGTTCACCCTCTCTCTCTCTCTCACTTCCCCTCACCTGTTCACCCTCTCTCTCTCACACTTCCCCTCACCTCTCACCTACACACACCTGTTGACGTCATCATATAGTGTTAAGTGACCTATAATTGTTTAAACATATAAACTAAACATCATTATCAAAGCATCAGGTGATATATTTGATACCTTAATGACCTTTGAACATTAGTTGTCACCTGTAATTATCAGAGGATGGGAGTTTTAATGTACTACTCTTAGGTAAATATAGATGGAGTAATTGTTTTGAGAATTAATGGAGTGACATGTGTTTAATGAGCAGGTCACTTCGCCCACACTGTGGAGTCGGTTCGCCCACACCTGTTTTGTTACCTGTTTTACTTAGGTTTAGTAATGTATTAATGTAAAGAATTGAACTTAAATAAAGTTTTCGAAACTATGAAAAAATCGTCTGTAGGTTTCGTAATGTTAAAGTCCAGCGGATTTAGTCAGTCAATGGCAAGATGGCAGACTGTCAAGATTATTGCATTCAATGCAATGTGCATGTACTGGCATGGCAAGAAGGTCTGCAGTGGTAAGTGGCAGCACAAGATATATAATACTGGTGTACCTCGAGCTGAGTACCGGGTAGCTGTTAGATCCGGTCATTCCATAGATCTGGAGTTGCAATTCGTGCACCGACAGTATCATGATTATCTCGCCCCAGGACTGAAGGCGAGTATCACTTTAATCCGGACATTTTCTACAATGTAATTTTGTACAATACAATTTCTTCGTAGTTTAACCTCAACATACGTGGTAATGGAACATTGCTTTATTATTTACAAGACACACCGGAACCAGCCCCCCCCCCCCTTCCAATGGAACTAGAGTCTTCAATTGAAGATCCGCCCATACCAGACACTGACGAGCAGCCAGAGTGATGTTACGTTCAAAGTCGTGGAGGAGGGTACGAAACACGGCCGAGTCAAGCTCACTGACAGCCTAGGGTACACATATAACGTAAAGAAGTGACGGCCAAATGTAACATATTGGCAGTGTACTGTCCGCCCGAGAGCTAACCGCAGTCTTGGAGGTATAATAGGGTGGAGGCGGCATCCGCTCAGAAAAGTGGAGGTCACTCTGAGCTGCCGGCGGCCATATTGTGGTTGGCAAAAGGGGCAAGGTCGCGGCCGTGTCCCGCCACTTAACAGTCACCAGTTCACAGGTGCACATGTTTCTCCGTGTGTATAACATATAAACATGCCAGTAACGTGTACTGCTAGGTTCGACAAGGAAATTTAGTTCAACAGTGTTTAACTAAGCTTCATTCAGTAGATGTTACCGTTACATCCCCACTTTTGACGGAGGAGCATCAAATTTGTCTATGATTAAGCACTTTGGTTGTAGTCTCGAGCATGACAGTCTAAATTAATCTTTTCCACACCCAGTGACACAGCAGCCAATTTGTGTATTTCTTGATCCTTGTTAGAAATTCTTTCGGAGATAAGTCAGCCTTCATTGATGGCCATGGTAAGTTTGTGAAATGGGAGTACATTGAACAGTTGCATACCCTCCAAGAACACGAAGGACTTCATTTAGGCAACAAACTGAGAATTGTACACATTGCATGGATAAAGAAAAGAATGAATGTCAAATTAGCTACACAGCTACTTAGTGAATCTTTGATGTTTTGTCTTGATGAAACAATAAGTGAATTTGAAGGCTGTGAAGCTACTATTAATTTCATTATGATTTTTAATACACTGCTTGACATAATAAACTCAAGGAATTTGCATGCCAGTAGCTACAAATGTCCACTTCAGAAAAAGAATGCTGATGAAATCGTAAGAGTTTCTGAGAAAAGCAGAAACATATATCATATCCTTAAGACTCCCCGATGGTCAAGAGCTACTGAAGTCCAACCGTAAAACTGGTTTTCTTGGTTTCATATTTTGCATACGGAGTTGGCAGAACTATATGAAAATTTGGTGGCATGTCCTAATCTTGTTTTAGGCTTTTTGAATTGAATTGTTTCTCGGAAAAATTAGAAGCATGGGAGGATGTAATAACAACCGCACAGTTAGGCAGTTTTCTGTTGCTTATAAAGATCTATGGTACATAATGACGTGAATGACATAGTTCGTGGCAACTGTTCACCACTAGAAACTGTACCAGTACTGACTGTGCCGAGCAGCTGTGCAAATAATGTTATGGTAGACTCTGTGAATGCTATTAATACCTCTGTTTTGAGACACAGTTATAGATAACGTGTTGTCTGAATCATCTTTAGCTAATGAGGAGGAGCATGATTATACTTATGTTC